CCCAGGACCCACGGCCTGACCACGGGCTGAACGGCGGCTGGATCCAGGAACGGGTTCCTGAGTCACCCGCCCAGGCGAGGAACTGCGTCATGTATTATGGCGCCATCTGAGCTCAGAAGCAGGAAGTGGTTCCTAGAATTCGGTCCTGCCGCGGCCGATCGGGGAAGTGGTTCCTGGTTGTGCGCCGAGGTGGCCCCATAGGGCGCATCATCCAGGAAGCGGTTCCTTGCTGGGGGGGGGGGGCGGCGCCAGGAACCACGTCCTGTGAGTGGGTGGCATGCAGTTGCCACTGTAAGACGTGGGTCCTGGGCAGTGGGGCCCTGTTGGTTCTCAAATAAATGCCCGGGGGGGAGGGGGGTGCAGGGCCGCCCGGGATCGCCCTGAGCCCTCCTGGGCAGTTTTGCGAGGATCCAAGGGGATCCGTTGTGGTACTTGAAAAAACTGCCCGGGTGGGGGGGGGGGCGACCTCGGGTGGCCCGGATCCCTCCACGGGAACACATCTGGCGCTGCGGGTCAGGACGTGGTTCCTGGATGGGGGCAGTGGCGACGCCGACCGGGGAAGTGATTCCTGGAGTTGAGCCGATGCGGCATCGCGTCGTAGTCGTAGCCGACCCCGACGGGGATCATGGCTTAGGTGGAGGGGGCAAACAACGCAGCCGCTGCATGGGAGTGGGCGGGACGAATATGGGACGTCCGGCATCCAAGGAATCATTTCTCCGAGTCGGGGTGGGTGACGACGGTGACGACGATCGCTCGCATGCAGCGGCAGCGGCGCTGGCGGGCACCCCGCCTCGATGTGGCCCCTCCCCGCGCACAGGTGTGACCACGGACCCGTGGAACGTGCCCGTGTTGATGGAGTCCACGATGTACGGTCGCCTGGCGGGCACGGGGGCGATGGGCAGAGCGGGGAGGGGGAGCGATGGGCGGAGGCCAAGGCGACCACCCGTCCACCAGCATCTCGCCACTGTCTCGGCACCATGGTTGTGCCACCTCACTCGCCACGACCCTTACACAAAACACGACAGCATTCGACGTCGCAATCTACAGTCGCTGGAAATCAGCATCGCACGGACATGCAAGCATACGCACCAGGCACATGACAGGTGGATACACGTAACTGCACTGAGCGGAGGAGGCAACGCGCAGTGCACACACATCCGGACCTGAAAGCAAGGCTAGGGGACGCAAGCATGCTGGCCTGCAACACATCAAGTAATGCACTGGGTCATCACGCGGCTGGACGACGGATCCACGATCGACACAGTCCACACAGTAAGGTATCATTGTGCACAAATTCTGAAAACATGCCCACGAGCCAGTCGCCCGCGTCCTCTGGCGGTGCCAGCACATGATAAGCGCCGGCGTCGTGGGTGGCAAGACGGGCAGAACATTCCCTGTGCATAGGTAAAAGGCAGAGACCACATTCTTGCACGCTCCCCATCGCAGAGCCACATACCATACAGTCCGAAACTGCATCCAGTGGGCCAGCTCCAGCGTGATCCACCATACGTAGCAACCTATGGAGCGACTCAGCTATGGGTAGGAGGTGAGGTGGCATGACTAGGATGACTGCTAGAAATTTACAGGTTATCATTCTGAATGAAGAGACGTGTGTGAGTCGCGCCATCTAGTATACCATCCATGCAATATATACATAAAATACGCAAGTACGATACACACTTACAAACAAACTAACCATGAATACATGCACCGCGCACACAGAGCACACGCACCCACTCGCATCCATGCCAATCGCAGAGCACAAGCTCCAGGCGACAGGACCACGGGTCCCACGAGTCGGTCCCCACACCCGCTGGTCAATTGCACGGTGCACGCGCACCTCCCTTACCACGTGCCACGCCTGCACGCCCATCGCACATGGCAGATCGCACCCGCAGGACGGCAGGGGCGGGGATGGGGGCGAGGTGGCGGGGTGGGGTAGGGAGACGGACGTCGCGGGCACGGGGGTGAGGCTGAAGAGGGAGGGCGATGAGGTCATCAGGGTCGACGAGGCTGGCATCAGACAGACAGACGTGGTCGGGGGTGCATGCGGTTGTGATATTAGAATTACCTACCTTGGCTAGAGGTGCGTATACATTTGCATGACCCCGTGAGTCCTGATAATATGCTCTGGAATTTCAGCCCGAAATACACCACGGCCCTTCAGGACTGCAACCCCGATGGTAGGAAGAATAATCGTGGCAGATCTGAGATCTCTGGCAGGGAAGAATCCAGCTGTCGGGTAAACTGCCCGGCCATCCTCAATCCGTATCAATCGACCTGTACGACCCTCTGTGTTCACCCAATGGACGAGGTATGACGTGGGCCCTCCGATGGCCACATCAGGAGTCCATACTAGCCCCATCTCCAAGACGTCCCCAGCGCGACGCCGAACTCCGCCAAGAGGCGTGGCCGAAGCACGAGGGATCAGTCTGAGCGCATCGGCACCATGCACTGCCGATCGCGCCCACGCAGTGAGCAACTCAATCACATGACGAGCTTCGTCGTCGGGGTCATCGTCGGGAGGTGGATCTGGGGGTGGGTCATCGCCGTCGCCGCCGTCACCTGGTGCTGCTGCTGGTGCTGCTGCTGGTGCTGCGCCGCCGCCGGTGCTGGCTGCTCCGTCTAGGCCCAACTTAGCCACATCGTGTGCGTGTGCTGCTGCGAGTGCCGCCTCCTTCTCCAACTGATCGGGATGCATGTCTGGCCCCAACCCGCTGGCAATCAGAGCTGCGTTCCAATCGAACTTACCAGTGAATGCAGCGTCATGCTCTGGTCTACCCGGCTTGACCCGATCCTTGCCACCAGCGCCGGCGCCTGCGAAGGTGGCAATACGGCGGGCCTCCTCTTGGCCGACGAGGGCGTCGTCCAGGTCGTCGCCGAGGTCGCCGGAGACGTCATCAGCCTGGCGCGGCGCCAGCAGGGGAGGGGGTGCTGCGGAGCGAGCGAGGTCGAGCAATGACAGCAGGGCAGCACAGCAACGACGATAGTAGACGTGCAATGGACAGGATAGGCTGAGATGAGGGGTGCGAGCGAGGGGGGCGCGTGCGAAAGTGAGCAGGGGGGGGACATACAATCCGATGTCATGATGTCATGGCTGTGGGGCGCGGGGGGTACGATTAATGGATCTCGCGAAAAGACGATCAGACCAGCGACGATCGAGCGTTCGAGCCAGCGCACACTGTCGCACCAGCGATCACAGACGGCGAGTTAGCAGTCTGGAGAGCTGAGGCCACGCATTAGGCGCTCGCAAGATGTTGCCAGAACGTACGCGCACAAGCACGCGCGCGCGCCATGTCGCATACCTCGCGCACCAATGCGCACGCACACACAGCAGAGGGCGGGATGCACAGCCTCGTCGCCGCCTGCAGCGAACGCCCCGTCGAGCTCGCGTAGGAGGTCAGGGTCGATGTCCGATTCATCCGCAGCGACATCGTCGTCGGCGGCCGGCGGGCCACCGTCGTCGGCGTCGGCTGGCGGACCGCCGCCGCCGCGGCCACCGCCGCCGCCGCCGCCGTCGCCGCCGCCCTTGCGTGCGCGACGGGGGGGCCTGTCGGTGGAGCGCATCACATGCATGAGCTCTGCATCCCCGATCTGGAAATATCCGAGGGGCCCTCGAGGCCCTCCAACATCGGATCCGTCATCGCCGGGATCTGGGCCAGAGAGACTCCACAGCCAATCAATCTTGTGTCTGTAGAGTTGAACTGACCCAAAAAAACGCACATAGTCCCAGGCATCTAAGAGCACGTCGCCAGAGGTCAGAAACCGCAGCGGATCAAGAAATCTGATCAAACGTGAACCGTCGTCCCCAACCATAACAACGCGCGCAACAGCATATGTCGTAGCCGAATAACTTTTCTCAACTGGCACCCACACTCTCGCACCCTCCGTGCACCTGCAATCACCATCACCGACTACGACGGATAAGCATATCCCACCGTCGATCTTCGGAGTCACAGCATGCAATCGTCTATGATACCAGCCAAGCACCGCGCGCTCCAACTCTGGAAGCACAGACACTAGGGTAGGGTTCAACTTCACACCATCAGCAACTGTAGCATGCGGAACTGGCTCGGGTGGTGGATCGGCCCACCGATATGTATCATTCATGATGGAGTCCCTGTCGTGCGCATTCAATGCCATCTGGAGTACAGCAGCTGCTCGGGGACGTACGTCTGACCATTTGTGGCTGACCCCCCTCGCACCGAGTCCGAGAGTTTTTTTGATTTGGACGCGAGCTGACAAAGTTGGTAAACGAATGGCCCGACACTGTTCCGCAATGTGTTTCGTGAGCGAGTTTGTGCCCTCGCACTCCTGCACGTCACAGTATGACATCCCTCGGAATACTTGAATGAAAGACCACAATGCTCGAGTGCACATGCCCGTCCGTGCTGCATACTCAAGATCAGGGCGGTACGCGTGCCTGACTTTCCACGTGGAGTGCTCGAGCCGCTCGACGTCTGTCTCCAGGAGCATGATCGCAGTGCCTACACCGCCCGCACGCGCGCGATGTCTAGCGGCACAGCTACACACGACGCATGCTCACGCGATCGATGCCCGACAAGGCGTGCACAACATGCGCGGCGACCATCGCACGCGCGCACATGCGCGCGCGGCCTCGCTTCCAAGACAGGCCCGGCAGGGGGTGAGGGAGTGGAAGACGGGTGGAGACACGTTGCCGGTGGGCGCAGAAGATCCGGTAGTCTTGGTGGGCGAGCCAGACCAGCAAGTAGGGAAACCTTGCGACAGCCGACAGCGGGACAAGCGTCGCGCGAGCAGAACAGGAGACACGATGCACTAGCAAGGAGGCCGAGAGGACGAAGGAGAGAAGGATAGAGAGAGAGCGCGGGAGAGAGACAGGCAGCGAGAAAGAGAGCGTGGGAGGGAGATGGATAAGGTAAGGTGAACGCGCTGGAGAATAACTTCGTCATGACACATGAGTGAGAGCAGTGCGCACGCACAACAGCTGAGTTGAGTGATTTGATGGCGGGTGGAGGCGCCTGTTGAACTCGCGGAAGACGCGGCGGTGGAATGAGGCCGCGTGGTGCAAGAATTCCTGGCGACGACCAGGGATGGCCTCCCCCCCTCCTCGTCCTTCTCCTTCTGAGTGCCAGCTGGGGCGAGGGCACATCCCGAGATAAATCACATGATGGCATGAATGTATCTGCCCATCCAGAACTAGATAAAATTATCACACCAGGTTTTTGGCAGGATGGGGCGAGGGCCCGAGGGCCCCGAGGGCCCTTTCACGAGATAAAATTATCACCACGAGGCGCGCCCAATAACGAGATAAAATTATCACATCGGGTTTCGCCCGCTAGGGCGAGGGCCCATCCCGAGATAAACTCATCACCGCGAGGCGCGCCCAGGAACCAGATAAAATTATCACGTCGGGTTTTGCTCGTTGGGGCGAGGGCGCATCCCGAGACAAGAGTATCACCGCGAGGCGCGGCCTCGAACCAGATATAATTATCGCACCGGGACCAGGAGGCCTCTCCCAGAACATGGGAAACACGCTCCACGACTGGACCCGCCCGACCGCCCAGACAGCACGCCCGGGCCTCCATGCGTCTCCCCCACTGCAGGGCACCACCCCCAGAACCGCCCTCCCCAGCGCAACCGCCACCAGCATGGGCGTCAGCACAACCGCCAACGTCACAACCACCACCAACGCAACCACCATCAGCACAACCACCAACAGCACAACCACCAGCACAACGACACAACGACCATCAGCACAACCACCAGCGCATACACCAGCGCAACCACCAGCATGACCACCAGCACAACAACCATCAGCACAACCACCACCAGCACAACCACCAGCACAATCACCATCAGCACAACCACCACCAGCACAACCACCAGCGCAACAACCACCACAACCACCAGAACGACCACCAGCACAACCACCATCAGCACAACCACCACCAGCACAACCACCACCAGCACAACCACCACCAGAACCACCACCAGTGCCAGCACCACCCATCACCACAACCAGTACAACCACCACCAGCACAACCACCACTTGCACAACCACCAGCGCAACCACCAGCACAACCACGAGCACAACCGCCAGCACAACCACCACGAACACCACGACACCAGCACGACAACCAGCACAGCCACCACCAGCACAACCACCACCAGCACAACCAGCACGAGCACCAGCAGTATCACAACCACCAGCCTAACTACCACCAGCCCAACCACAAGCGCAACCACACCACCAGCACAACCACCGCCAGCACGACCACATCGAGCGCAACCGCTAGCACAACCACCAGCAGCACAACCACCACCAGCACAAACACCAACACAACTACCAACCAGCACAACCACAATCAGCACAACCAGCACTAGCACAACCACCATCGCAACCACCAGACCACCAGCACAACCACCATCAGCAACATACCACCACCAGCACAACCACCATCACAACCACCAGCACAACCACCACCAGCACAACCACCACCAGCACAACCATCACAAACACAACCACCAGCGGCACAACCACCACCAGCACAGCCACCAGCGCAACCACCAGCACAACCACCAGCACAACCACAAGCGCAACCACCACCAGCACAACCACCACAAGCACGACCACATCGAGCGCAACCACCAGCACAACCACAAGCACAACCACCAGCACGACCAGGATGGGAGGGGAATGGCCCCCTACGAAAACCTTATCCTAACTCAATGACCTCCCGACGAAAACATTATCCTAACACCAGGGTTACGCGCGAAATTCTTGTCCGAAGCCATTGGGCCATTGGGCTGCGAGCGGGAGCCCTATCCTAACCCCAGGGCCCCTGGACCCCTACAAAAACCTTATCCTAACTCACTGGCCTCCCCACTAGAACCTTGCCTTAACACCAGAGTTACGCGCGAAATTCTTCTCCACATCCATATGGCTGCGAGCGATCACCTTATCCTAACCCCTGGGCCCGGTACGCAAAGACCTTATCCTAACTCAATGGCCCCCGTACGAACGCCTCATCCTAACACCAGGGTTGCGCCGAAATGTTTCTCCGAAGCCGTTTGGGCTGCGATTGAAAACCTTATCCGAGCCCCTGGGCCACCCTACGAGAACCCCCTATCCTATCTCACTGGCCTCCCTACGAACACCTTATCCTAACACCAGGGTTACGCGCGAAATTATTCTCCGAAGCCATTGGGCTGCGAGCGGAAACCTTATCCTACCCCCTGGACCTCCTTACGAAAACCTGATTCTAATTCAGTGGCATCCTTACGAAACCATAATCGTAACGCCAGGGTTACGCGCGAACTTCATCTCTGGACCCATTGGGCTGCGAGCGAAAACCTCATCCCAGCACGTGGGCCCCCTATAAAAACCTTATCCTAATTCACTGGCCTCCCTACGAAAACCTTATAAGCCTTAACACCGTATCCTAACACCAGGGGGGTGCGCGAAATTCTTCGCGGTTTGGCAAGCCAATTCGCAGTCTATCAATCTCGCAAGCGATCGCACGATCTAGCTCTGAAGATCGTACGTTCGGTCGCACAATCGATCGCACCGTCGATCTAACAATTGAACTCACCATCGATCTCACATTCCGACTCGAGTCGACGTCGCAACCGTTATCATGCTATCATGCCGCTACCGATCGCACAATCGATATCCCATCGATCTCACGATCGGTCTCACACTCGGTTTCAAAATCGATCTCACGAGCGATCTCGCCATCGATCCCACAACAGATATCACCATCGATCTCGCACCACATACCACTATCAATATCAAAATTATCCCAGTGCGACCCTACCTAGGAGTTGGAACCCCTAGGAAAGCAGCATTAGTAGTAATAGCAACGCTAAGCTACAGCTAAGCTAAAGCTAAGCTAAAGCTAAGCTAAAGCTAAGCCACAGCTACGCTAAAGTTAAGCTAAAGCTAAGCTGAAGCTAAGCTAAGCTAAAGCTAAGCTAAAGCTAAGCTAAAGTTAAGCTAAATCTAAGCTAAAGCTAAACAGCTAAGCTAAAGCTAAGCTAAAGCCACAGTAAAGCTAAGGTAAAGCTAAGCTAAAACGAAGCTAAAGCTAAGCTACAGCTAAGCACAAGCTAAGCTAAAGCTAAGCTAACGCTAAGATAAACGCTAAGCGAAAAGCTAAGCGAAACGCTAAGCTAAAGCTAAGCTACAGCTAAGCTACAGCTAAGCTAAAGCTAAGCTAAAGCTAAAGCTAAAGCCAAAGCTCCCAGGGGACTGGGGGGAACCGCGGGGCGGGCACTGGGGAAACCGCCCGGGGCGCTTTCCACTGCCCGGCCCCTTTAAGCTAGAGAGTAAGAACTCTTCTAGGCAGAGCCTAGGTAGGAAACAACATCCACGATCGATCCCACAACAGACACCGACGGGGCACCGACGGGACACCGCGGCGGCATCGACGGGCCCACCGCGGCCCACCGCGCGCTGGGGAGGGGGGGGGGGGGGCGGGCCCACATCATCTGGCCACGGCGGCATCAGTCCTCTCGCGCGCCCGCGCAGCTTCGAGTCGCCCGCGCGCGCGACGCGAGCTCGAAACCGACGCCGATTTCCCAGTGTACGGCTCTCCGTCCCGCTGCGATCTCACCCCCTCGTCTCAGATCTACACCAATCGACAGATTCGCAGATACATCTGCAGACTGATATATATATATAGAGAGAGAGAGAGAGAGAGAGAGAGAGAGAAAGAGAGAGAGAGCAAGAGGGTAGATGCACGATCGAGAGCTCGAGGGAGAGGGAGTGGCAGAGTCGGCGAGTGGGCGACAAGGAAGGAAGATCTGAATATTGAGGCGGAGGCATGGGATGACGACTGGATGAGTTACGATAGGGGGGGAGGTAGGGTAGGGGGGGATTGGGTTCGGATGCCCGGGAGTCCTCAAGTGCAAAAAGCATGAGATTGTAACACATACCATTATCGATGCGTGGGTCATCCTGCACCTTCTTGTAGCTGCCTGGCCAATCGTACGTCAAAACCACATCTGTGTACTCGTCGTTGAAATCCACGAGTCCACCCTCCACGAGTTGTGCCATGTGGTTGCCGGAAACGAACACATCATCTGGTTTGCGTTGTAAGAACAATTGAAAATGCGTGCCAGGCGCGTGCACAATACACATCACGTCGACTACAAACCAGAACACTGGATCACTCACTGTGGTCAATGCATCACGGCGCCACCGACCCAGCTTCTGGCGATATGCAACCTGCTGCTCAAGACGAGCCTCGTCAATGACACCGAGGGCGACGTCGCCAGGCCCGTCGCGATCGGCGTCGGCGATCGCCTTGACGTCGGCGTCCGTCAAGGCGAGCGCCGCTCTCAGAGCAGTCACCAGGTGCCCGTCGCAGCCGGCGCCGCCAGATGCTGACCTGGCAGGCCGACGGAAGGGCGCGCAGGCATGCACGGTCACGCAAGCGCGCGGCTAACAAGCGAGCGGGAGCCAGAGGGATCAAAGGAATGCAAACAAAAAATCGGGATAGGAGGACGAGTCTGAGGGAGGACTGGCGGGAGCGGGGCCCTGGGGAGGGGGGTGGGGGAGGGCCGGATGATGAGGAGGGGAGGAACGGACAATTGGATAGAGTAGGGGGGGGAGAGGGCATTGCAGAACCCACGCTGACCTCAGACGAGACTCGGTGGCAGAAACTGACAACCAACGCCCTGCAACACACTTGGGCGGCAACTTCAGAGCGTGCTCGCACGCGTCGGCAGCCCCGAACAGAGACGTCCACGTGCCCAGAACTTTGGCGGCAGCGTCGCGCCAACAATGGGTGATCTTGGCACACGACGAGAAATACTTCCAAGGAACACCAAGCTTACGCATCCACGCGTCTACGAGATGCAATCCAGTTTGCGTCGTCAACTGGCCAATGTGCATTAGACAAGGGATGCCGACAGCTACGATAAATTGATTCGGGGCAGCATCTACACACATGAACCGTTTGAAAACCCTCTGATCGGGCCCCCCGTCCGACGTGTACACCCACCATGACATTGAGTGGCCATCCAGGTTGGCCCAGAAAGGACAGCCGACTGACAACACCTGTTTTTTCAAGATTGCGTATGTTCCCTGAGCTGAAGCATCTCGCACGCGATGTAAGTCTGGAACCACTTCATGACACGATATGCAATCTTGAAACGATACATGCCCAATGCTGGAATAATCGACCACATAAACTGACTTGATTTGTGTATTGTGCAGTTTTGCATTTTGCCAGACTGATGAGTTCGTTGCGTCGGACCTGAAAAAATGAGCTGATATGTGTGCACCGAAATCATCATCACATGGCCGACATGACCGTTGTGCGTGCTCTCGCAGAATGTGGAACTTCCTAGCATAACTGATCAACGAAGCCGACAAGAGACGCTCGTACCGATTCACAGTTTGACCGCTCAAGTCCTCCATCAAGAGTGAACCCACGTCGTTCGCACCGACACAACTTAGGTTCCGCCGAATCGCAGTGGCAAGCCGGGACCGGGGACACAAGAAACCCTTTGCACCGTTCGGTCGCACAAGTTCGAAAGCAGCATTGGACGGGGCAGCGCGAGAGGGTGCAGGCACGAGCACGCCACCGTCACAGTCGCTAACATCATCAGCAGACGACGGCCGCAACCGTTTGAGCTGGTGCCTCTGGATAGCGTCCTTCTGCCTGGCGCGCTGCAGCTCCTCGTCCTTCAGCACCAGCAACTGGGCGCGGCAACTGGGCGGATGGGGCGATGCGGCAACGTTGGCAACGTGAGGGATACGGGGGTGGGTGACGATGCGGGGGTGGATGCGGATGGATGGTGGAGTTAATGAGGGCACAGCACGATGAGGGAGGACGAGGACGAGGATGTGGATGGGCCAGAGGATGGGAGAGTCAGGGAGGGATAAGCTATGCGAAGCCTCTCGAGGCCGCCCGCGAGCGAACGCGAGTGGATGTGCTGCAAAAGGCGGTGCCAACTCCTATCTCCTACATCCCCATATGCTACCCCCTATCGCCTCCCACGTCCCCCATCCTATCTCACACTCGCGCTCATGTCACATGTCCCTCCCGCGGGTGCGGGTGGCCTTGGCCATGACGGTCGGGTCGAGACGCAGGTAGTCCTCCTCGGTCATCGTGGGCGCGCGCCTGCACGTGGGGCGCGCGGCACGGCACTGGGCAGCAATGACAGGTGGGACAAGGTGAACGGAGTGAACGGGGGCGGGGTTGGATGGGGAGGACAGGGGGAGTGGATTGGGACTGGGCTGGAATGTCGAGCTGATGACAAAGGACGGGAGGTACCGCATTACAACACGCACAACTGACATATTAAACAACGTCGCACACGTGTACAAATTTCCATGCAAACGTATCTACGTATACATAATACATATATATATATACATACATACATATACATACCCGATACGATTGCCAACCCCAATGCTGTGAGACATTGTCGCAGATAGGCACGGCATGAAAAAGAAGAGTCGCGCCTGCGCACAGGCACGATCTCCGCGCTCAGCGCCGCGGGAATCGCGGCAACCATCGCTGTCTCTGGGTCGGGCGCGGGCAGCGCCACGAGAGGTTGGTGCAAGGAGGGGGCAGCAGCCAACGCGGCACGAACCTGCCTGTCCCACAAGTCAGATCGGATGTCGATCCCCCCCGCAGACAATGAGAGCATCACCACTGCCACCGGATAGTGATCATCAGAACCAGAGTCAGGCAGCCCGGGAGATCTCTCGGCCTTCCTGATGCACTGGCGGGCGCTGTCTGGGTGCACGTTGCATATATCTACAACCACTTGGAATAACGCACACTTCGGGAACAGCAGGCCGCCATCAGAACCGACGCGAGCATGAGTCGACAATGCGAGCTCCAGCTGTCGCGCGCCACTGGCCCCCAGGAAGACAGTCGGCCGCTGCGGGCCGCTGCGGCATCGCAGCATCATGGGCTGGCCAAACGGCCTCGGGCCAAACGGCCTCGGGCCAAACGGGCCGCGCCGCCATGGCCAGACCACCCACCCAACCCCCAAGACAGATGTCACGATTGATCTCACTATTGTTCACATATCAAACTATTGTTCAAATATCAACCCCAGAACTGGTACTCCATTGCACAATCGATCTCACAATCGATCACACGATCGATCTCACCATCATCTTCCCTCGTGCTACCTGCTCGCAGTTTGCAATCCATGGCAAGTGGACGACGGGATGTGAACGATAGTGAGATCGACAGCAAGGTAGTGATAACAATAGTGAGGCCGATTGTCTGATCGATACTGAGACCGACCGTGAGGATGCGCGAAGGAAAACTGATGATTGCGATGGTGGTGACGACTGCCGAATCTGTCGTATATAATTGCTATCATGGGTATGCGAAATCCCAGGGTTTGGGGGGGAGTCCAGAATTGTTGATCGGGTGCGGTGCCCCCCTCTATGTTACATCACCCCCCCTAGGCAGTCGCCCCACGACGTGTGCGCAATCGTCATCAGCCCCGCTGCTTTGGTAACGGCCGCGATCGCCACCCTCCCTGGTCTCAGATCGATCCCCAACCACCGCCCGCCAACCGGGGAGGGGGGGCGCAGTTCTGTCCATCGGCGTCCTGGCCAGATGAAGGCCCATTCTTCTCGCCCGCCCACGCAGCTGCGTCTCGCCCGCGCGCGCGACACAAATGCGAAACCGAAACCGCACTTCGATATCACCCCCTCATCTCCGACAAATTGTTAGACAAAAACGCTAAAAATGTAGTTGGTTGCACGGGCTAGTTGGACCCCGGTACATCGAATGTGAGGGTAGCCGAAGACGAGGTCGCGCGCTACACAGTCAACGCCACTGGAAAATTATAACCAAAATGTTTAGAATACAAAATAAATGACAAAGAAAACACGAATACACAGCCAACGCCACTGGAAAGTTAGAACCCACATGTTTAAAACGTATATGTAAAATACTAGAAAAAACAAGCAACAACCTTATAATTCCATGCGCGCAGAGACAGCCGCGACGCCGATCACAGGCCACACGCGTAGAAAAAATAGTCAAACATCTTAAATTTGGTAAGCAACTTGCTAATTTTATTAGATGGCTAGTTTATCTACATCATGTGAACTCGCTAGGGAAACCATAAGGCCCTAGGGGGGGCAGACCATTCTGAGGAAGCAAAAGTGGTCACTTCCTACTTTGCGCGGGCGCAACATGGCCAGAGTTGGAGATACACAGTCGACGGGGCTAGGAGGTGCAGTGCATGTGATGAAGGACAACGGAGCCCCTGTGCAAGTGGTTATGATTTCTATTGTTGATGATGGCCCCACCGCGGGCACCGTGCAGTGTGGCGTCGAGATCGAGGGGTTGACGGAAGTGGGAGGGCAGCAGCATGCACAGTGTCTGCACGCCAGGTTCGCAGAGATCCGCCCCTTTCGGTGAGTATCGGAACAGTTCGACAGGTGAGTGTGCGGCGGGGAGAAGTCCAGTGGGTTCTGCTACTGAGTGCTCGCCCGCCCTCTCCGCCCAGTTTGACGCACGCCACGCAAGTGACAGTGCCTTATCCTTCTCGCCGCCTGCTGGGGAAGCTGGTGGTGTCTACCGTCCTGCCCGTCCTCTGTCTCTCTGCAGTTGGAACACGCGCGCGCTCTTCGCCTCTCTCTCTCTCGTCTCGTTCATCTCGGTCACGTTCACGCTTCCTTCGGGCTAAGCAGCTGCTCTCACAGTATCAGGTCATGTGTTTACAGGAGACGCACGGATCTGAAGCAGACCTGGTTATCCTTCGGGACGAAATGCGGACTGGGCAAATTGTTGGGAGCTTTCTGGAGGATCGGAACGCGGGGGGGGGGGGGCCTTCCTGTCTTCGGAACTCTGTGACTGCTTCGACCCGATCGCTCCGATTACGGTCGTTCCTGGGCGGGTGTTGCTCGTCCATGGTCGGGGACCCCGAGGCGATTTGGTAGTGGCCAATGTACATATGCCTAACACGTGCGATGACGTTCGTATCTATCATCAGTACTTACGCCTCATCAATGCCGCCCTTCCTGCGGCAGCGCATACCATGGTTATCGTCCTGGGAGACTGGAACTTCTGTACGATGGAAGATGGTAGGTCTCTTGTCTCTGGGGAGATTGGGCCTGGGGACCGTTTGCAATGCGATGCTTTTTCAGGAACATTGTAGCCACTGGTGTGAATTATACCAACCAGACCCGACCCGAAGGGATATTGTGAATCGGGAACTGAGGGGGCTGGCCAGATTAGATCGGATTT